ACTTTGGCTTCGATCCTAGATGGAGGAACTGGGTGTTGAGTATGATAAGCCATTGATGCTATATTGTGATAATCAGATTGCCATCAACATTGCTTACAATCCGGTGCAACATGATAGGACTAAACATATTGAAGTTGATAGGCAATTTATTAGAAAAAAGTGCCTTCTAGAGAAGTTTGCCTACCCTTCATTACATCTGAAGAACAATTAGCTGACATTCTTACCAAGGGAAACTCCAACCCCAAACTACAACATGACACTGGCAAGATAAGCATGATTGACATCTATGCTCAACTTTAGGGGGAGTGAAGAGAGAATCGGTCGAATGCCCCATAAGATGCTTTTATTTTGTTTATGTTTTTGTTGTTAACGGGCCTTCTAACTAATGGGCCTTTTTATGCTCAACTTAATTAGGTTAATAGCCCAATTAAGGGCCTCTCTGTAAAAACGGCCAAAAACCATTTTATTGGTCAACGAGTCAATGGTTCGATCGCTCGGGTCAATGAGTCGTTGACCGATTCAACGGTTTTTGGCTAGACACGGGTCAACGGGTCGACGATTCCACTCCAGTCCTTGCGAAGCAGGGCCCCTCCGCTAGTGTTTTAATGAAAGGGATTAGAGAAGAGAGAAAACATTCGACAGTCTTCTCTCTAAACCCTATTTTCCACCAACTTTTTCTTCTCTCCTCTCCTTTTCTCTTTTCTACAGATATCTAACATCTTTTCACAACTTTTAAATCAATCGTTTCATTCCTTAGGACTTTTTCTTCTAAGACCATAATGGTCAATAAGCTTTAAATAATCCACATCGAACTGACCACCAACTATAATGCATAGTTGTGAAGGAGTCACCTAGGCACCCACCTAGGCGACTAGGCACCCTTGGCTTGGCACCTCGCCCAAACGCCCTGACTTTTAGCAACTAGGCGCCCTTCTAGGAGACTAGGCGCCCTTGGCTAGTTTTCCCACCCTTGGATGCTCATAAAAGGAAGACTTTAAATCTGAAACGTCCATTTGTTCCCACCTCTCTCAAGTTCCCAAAATTACTTTTCTAGTCCTTCCCCACCAAATCCCTTTTGTTTTTCTTTTTGCAAGACCCCCCTTGATACTTGTCACCCACCTAGCCATTAGATCCCCTTGAAACCTTCCAAAAACAATCAAGGGCGTCCATGTCCTTTCTTTGCTTTTGGAAATTACAACCTAGTCCCTACTCATGAAACTTGTTTTTAAAATATTTGCAAGGAGGTCCCTGCTATGTGTCGAAACCTCAACCTTTGGATCTCCTTGTTTAATCCTAACCATGGGTTGCTTTCCTTCTTTTTGGCAAGATCTAAGCACCCCTTGCCATTTTGGGAAGATCCCCTCTTGCTTCCTTAAAAGGCCATGTAATTTTTCCTTCCAAGAAAAATCATGTACAAGAAAGGCAATTTTCTAGTTCTTTAAGGAACAAAAAGAATTTTGTTGGAGAAGGGAAAGAAAAGAAGACACTCCATTCGTATTAGACTAATATGAGAAACTCCTAATGTCCCAAAAGGTCTCTAGATGTCCCCCCTCCTCCTTTGAGTCCATTCTGGCTAGCTTCCAACCTAATTGCCTTTTTCTTAACCAAAAATAGAAAGTCCTTACTTTTAAGAGCCATTTTCCCTCTCTCAAGCTCTCTCTCTCCAGCATTAGACACTCACCCATCTTCAACCGAATTCCCTTCTCTGCATTCACTCTTCCCCCATTAATCGAAATACACCACTCTTCCAAATTTTCCTTCTAGCTTTTTCTTTTTTTTTTCTATAGTTTTTTTAGTGAAAACAAAAAACCACAAAAACAGCTTCAAAGTTTTCCCCATACTCGCTGAAATCCACCACCTCTCTACCATCCCCTCCACCTTCTTCCATTCAAAGTTAGGCCCAAAGGGTAGATACAATTCTCCACCATAAAGCCCCATGACAGATGCAAGCATAAGGACTGGAAGGCCGTATGACACAAGAAGCAAAGAGTTTTTCTAATCACCTTGTCCATCAAAATTCCTCCTAATATCTTCCCCCCAACCATAAGGAAAAAATCCATATACAAAGGTAATCACCTTTCATTAGTTTAAGAGTAGTAGTTTTTTTGTACTTTTTTTTCTTTATTTTCATGTCTCTTTTGTGAGAAAAATCATTTAAAGCAAGCGATTTTGGATCTGTTTTGGCTTTCTTTGGTTTGACCTTGGTAGTTAACTAATGACACTTGGCCGATTGTATGCATAGAATGTATTTTTTTTCTCTCTCCCATTCACTTGATGTTGGATAAAGTTGGTTAGATTGTTGTTTAGGGAGCTTCTTCTTGGATTTGTGTGTGCTAGTTTTGAGTTCTTTAGTCTTTGGTCATAGTGTTAAGTGCGTCTTTCTTATTGACATTGTTTTTTTTATTTACTTGTTGATTTTAGCTTTAATTTGTAATGTATGATCCTTCTCAATCCACGGTGAAGGGATGCCCATGGGACAGATTTCATGAGAAGTCAACCTTCCTCCTCTCCTTGAGTAGAAGCATGGAAGACTTTGGATAAAGGAGGGGTGGTCGTGTATTCAACCGCCCCTTTGCTCCTCTAAGAGTCTCCCATGCCCAGAAATAAGAAGAGGAGGGGATTGGCTCTCATGAGAAAATATCCCCCGCATGGAGTGTCTTCTTGGAAGGAAAATATCCCCCTCAAAGGAGGAAGGGGGACATCTAGAGACTTTTTGGGTCACTAGGAGTTTCTCATATTAGTCTAATACGAATGGAGTTTCTTCTTTTCTTTCCCTTCTCCAACAAAATTCCTTTTGTTCCTTAAAGAACAAGAAAATTGCCTTTCTTGTACATGACTTTTCTTGGAAGGAAAAAGTGCATGGCCTTTTAAGGAAGCAAGAGGGTATCTTCCCAAAATGGCAAGGGGTGCCTAGATCTTGCCAAAAAGAAGGAAAGCAACCCACGGTTAGGATTAAACAAGGCTAAGAAACAAGGAGATCGAAAGGTTGAGATTTTGACACATGACGGGGATCTCCTTGCAAATATTTTGAAAACAAGTTTCATGAGTAGGGACTAGGCTGCAATTTCCAAAAGCAAAGAAAGGACATGGACGTCCTTGATTGTTTTTGGAAGGTTTCAAAGAGATCTAATGGCTAGGTTGGTGACAAGTGTCAAGGGGGGTCTTGCAAAAAGAAAAACAAAAGGGATTTGGTGGAGAAGGACTAAAAAAGTAATTTTGGGAACTTGAGAGAGGTGGAAACAAATGGATGTTTCAGATTTAAAGTCTTCCTTTTATGAGCATCCAAGGGTGGGAAAACTAGCTTTGAAGAGAACAAATGAGATCTCAAGGATGCACCTTTGATATTCGGGGCGGGCAAGAAGAGTATTTTCAAGAAATGCTTTACAAACTTGAACTGAGGTGGGGGCGAACCACATAGAAGATGTTTGATGTGTTTAATCATTTTGACGGATGAGATTGAGTGAAACAAAATCGTCCTTGATGGAGGGGCAAAATGAGCATTTTATGGCATGTATTTTCCATATTGTCGATTAAAAGGATGACAACAGGTTTTACAGGGTAAATCATGAATTCGATTAGTGAGGATGATTTATTTGGCATTTTCTTAGATGGAGGGTAAAATGGTCATTTCAAGGTTCAAAATCAGACGGATCGTCGTTCGGGAGGATGATAAAGGTTTGGATGAGGTTTGATGGTGTTTTGTAGTGCAGATCTTGAGTTCGGAGAGTATTAGGTGATAGGAGTGGTTTATTCGGAATCTTTCTAGATGAAGGGTAAAATCGTCAATTCAATGATCAAAATTGGATCGATCGTCAATCGGGGGGTTGATAAAGGTTTGGATGAGGTTTGGTGGTGTTTCATAGTGCAGATCTTGAGTTCAAAGGGTATCGGGTGATGTGAGTGATTGATTCGGAATACTTACGTATGAAAGACAATATGGACATTTTTGCATCTGAAATTTGATGGGTGGTTGATCAGGATATTTGGAGTTCAATGGGTATGCTTCATGTCTTTAGAGGCGTTGGAATCACAAGAATTTAGATAGCGAATATCTCAGCCAATGAGGTGGCTTAAAATGGAATCTTATCTTGATGAATAATTTTGGTGGAACGGCATTTATTTGAAGTATAGTGTTGTTGGGAGGATTTGATCACATCCAAGACGCATGGATCGCATGTTTTTGGTTTGAGAAGCGTCATAGGACCGGATGCATCGAAATGGAATCTCTTACAAATGAACGGCAAAATCAAGGAATTTAAGGTTGAAACGTGGTGTGCTTGGATGTTAAAAGGTTTTATTTCATATGGTGAAATTTGATCGTGTGGCAAAAGTGGTAATGTGCTGCGATCATGGTTGTTGAAAGGGAATAGTATATATTAACGATGGATTTGAGGGTATACGAGTTGAAATTTGATGTCGTCGGATTTTAGCACGTTCCAAAGGGGTTGGTGTGGTCCGATCGGGCCCTTGGGGTATGAGAAGTGGGACTGAGCAAAAATCGGGTGCTGACACTATTAAATACTTATTATAGTAGTATTATTTTTGAAAATAATGAAACTAATATATGTAAAAGATTTTTATCTTTTAGATGTGATGATTTGCCGCATTTTTAGAGGAAATTTAATGTTCTTAATAAAGAGAATTGCTATTTTTTTTTATTAACACACATGCTAAATGGTATATAAAACTAGGAAACTAGCCAAAAGTCGGTTTTTTTATATTATAACATTTTTATCGCCTAGGCGATTAGGCGACTAGGCCCTCCAATGTCTCCCAGAATCACCTAGATGCCTTGAGTAAAATTGCAAAACAGGAAAAAAAAGAAATGGCCCTTGGAGTAAAATTGCAAAACAGGAAAAAACATCCATTGAGTTATCTTTTAGCCTCCATTTCCACAAGAGTAAAAGAAAAGAAAGTTTTTACATCCGCTAATCAAACACAACTAAGACAATGATACAATATTGTAAAATGCATAGAACATTGAAAAAGGAAATTCTTACGCTGTTTTAATGCTTTCAGCAGCTTCAGAAGAATTTGGGTCACCTTCGACCAGATATATCAGCTTTTTAAGCCCACATCTCTAGAAATAAAAACTCAAAAATCATCAGATAATATATTGAACTTGATCTCTATTGGTATAACTAACATTTCAATAAGGAGCAACAGAGTCAAATCAATCAATTGCAAGAAAAACACCAGGCGCTTTTAAAAGATAGCTGGTTTTTCCAACAGCGAAAACATCTCAGTAATATCCATAACATTTAAAATAACTGACATGGTGCATATTCTGTACAGAATTGACAAAGTAATCTGATTTCACCCAATAGATAGTCTTCTTTTAGGCTGCATTGGTTCCATGTAAAAGGAGCACAAAACCATGTTTTTGCCATAAAAGGGGTGATAAAAATTAACTAAAATATTTCAGATGAAAAATTTACTACCCCTGTTATTGTGAAACAAAGGAAACCTAAGCAATGATAAAGCCACTAAAGCCTTTAGTTAATAAGTTTACAAATAAAAAGCCAGCTGGAGCTGATCAAATCCCAATAACTACTGCTTGTGATGCAAATGGTTTATGAAGCTAGAAGCAAAGGACAGCCTCTGCAAATTACTATTTTACTATTTGTGACACTAAACAATTAAATCTATTACCTATCCTAAAGACATGTATGCTGTATCTAATTTTTTAAAGTCAAGCTATACAATCCATATCATTCTTTCCATTATGATTTTTCTTTCTGTAAGAAAGAATGTACTAGATGAAGTGGCAAATGTCACAATGTGCAAAAACTTTCAAAAACAATAAGTCCATTAGTAGGGTATTTGCAGATTACAAAAAAAAAAGTACAATACTGCAGAAAAGAACTGCAAGACTTGGACCAAGAAAATAATAACAAACTCCATTTGTTACTGTTGACAACAAACTTGATGTGGGCGCCGGCAGCAGCAGCAGTAATTTAGTGTTCTCAGCAGCAGCAATTTAGTGTTCTCATCCTATCTTATCTATTCAGTATTCTTACCTTATCTGCTTTTAGTAGCAGGGATTAGTAGGAGTCTTATCTATTCAGTGTTCTTATCTTATCAGTTCAGTAGTATGGATTAGTAGGGAGTCTTATCTTATCTTATCAGTTAAGTAGGATAGATTAAGGGAGTCTTATCTTATCTTATCAGTTCAGTAGGATAGATTAGTAGGGAGTCTTCCTAATTAGTAAGGAGTCTTCCTAAAAGTAGGACTCTTATCTCTTGTAATCTCCTATTTAAGGAGATGATATTATTCAATAAAGGCATCAAAAATTTCAGTCAAGAAAGAGAGCAAGGAGAGTTAGGTGATCTCTTGGACAAATCACCATTAGGACGCCAAGATAGGTTCATCAAGAGCAGGGAGGAACAAGGGAAAACAGGAGGTTTTCCCCGTGGACCGACCCGTGACGAGATCCTATTCCGTGGGCCCATAACATTTTGGTATCAGAGCAAGGCGTCATGGGTGACCTTGAGCAGTTGACGACTAGGGTTCATGAACTGGAGCTCAAGATCGTTGAAAACAGCACAGAGGTGCGCGAGATCAAGGACAACATCTAAGAATTAAGGCGCTTGATGGAGTTGTACTTTTCCAGCAAGGAAAGAAACCCGGAAGGGGCTGCAACCACAACCGGCCGCTGACCAGACGTGGCAGAATCGTCGGGCGAGCAGCAGGTCGTTGCCCTAGTGCAGGTTAGCAACACCCAGAATGTCCCGATTAAGCAGGAATCCGGTGTCGTCGAGGTGTTGCAGAATCTTGGGATTGCATATCTTCAAGTTGTTGCAGGTGYTKGGGCAAGTGCTRGTGAAGGARCTTGTATGCCTCATGTTGCGGCTGCAAATGTTGCAAAAGAGTGTTTGATAGGTGCAGTCAGATCAGATCCTAGGGCTGCACATATCTAGGTGAATCTTGCTAATGCATACTATTTGGCTAGTGATCATARAAGTGWTGGAAAGTGCCTGGAGAAGGCAGCAAAACTGGAGCCTAATTGCATGTCAACTCGATATGTTGTTGCGCTTCATCGTATCAAGGATGCAGAAAAGTCTGCGAATGAAATGGCTCCAATACTCAGAGAAGGGGACTCTGCAACACTTGAGCTTCGGATAGCATGGGCAAGACTTGCCATGGTTCACAAGGCTCAGCATGAAATTGCAGCAAGTTTGGAACTGGACATAATGATTTGATGGAAGTGGAAAAGCGGGCTCTGTACACACTAAAGCAGGCAATAGAAGAGGATGCAGATGATGCGGTTCAGTGGCACCAGCTTGGCCTTCACAATCTTTGTACTCTACAGTTCAAGACATCTCAGAAGTACCTTAAGGCTGCAGTTGGCCGCGGCAAGAATACAGCTACACATGGTCAAATCTTGGTATCTCACTACAGCTGTCTGAGGATGAACCCTCTTCATTGGAACCCGATCCAGGAAGGCAAAATCATTCCACCAATCCGGGATTCCTTTGACTGTTTCAAGACACCCATCCTGAATTCGAGCTTGAGGACAAGCTCGTAGTCCAAGAGGGGAGTAATGATGTGGGCACCGGCAGCAGCAACAGTAATTTAGTGCAACAGTAGCAGTAATTTAGTGTTCTCAGCAGCAGCAATTTAGTGTTCTCATCCTATCTTATCTATTCAGTATTCTTACCTTATCTGCTTTCAGTAGCAGGGATTAGTAGGAGTCTTATCTTATCTTATCTTATCAGTTCAGTAGGATAGATTAGTAGGGAGTCTTCCTAATTAGTAAGGAGTCTTCCTAAAAGTAGGACTCTTATCTCTTGTAATCTCCTATTTAAGGAGCTGATATTATTCATTAAAGGCATCAAAAAATTCAGTCAAGAAAGAGAACAAGGAGAGTTAGGTGATCTCTTGGACAAATCACCATTAGGGCGCCAAGATAGGTTCATCAAGAGCAGGGAGGAACAAGGAAAAACAGGAGGTTTTCCCCGTGGACCGACCCGTGACGAGATCCTAATCCGTGGGCCCATAACAAAATTCCACAAAATACAGCCTCTCGCATCAAATATACAACATCAAATACACAACATTTCCAACCTGATACCAGCAATAGATAAGAGGAAAATCAAACAAGAACAACAAACTCTTAGAAGAAGTTCCAACCACATGCATCTCAAAAAAGAATAATCAGAAAAGATATGACTAAGATTTCTATTATTCAAAAAATAAAGGAAATAAAGAAGAAAAGGCCTATTATCCACAGTAAAGGTATTGTTCAATGAGATGGGTCCAATGGGTAAAATCAAGTCTACTATGCACAAAACTGGCCCAGATAAAACAATCTTGGAAGAAACAAGTTCAAATAGCAACTTTATAGTGTTTCAGTAAAGAGAGAAAAAAATACGAGAATCCCCATTTCAAGTTAGTCTTCCAAAATATTAATGAAGGAGCTAAGTGGTCAGATACATACTTTAATAAGTTTGTTTCCATTTTTTTCTTATTTTTGATGGTAGGAGTGTGTTGGTCATTAACTATTCATAGTTACATTTGTTCAACTTGTCAACCATAAGATGATCATTTAGCAAGGGAAGTTTGGTAGTGCTATTTCCATTTGCACTGGTGAACACTAATTTGTAGAGTAGAAGTAAAAGAAGTACTTGGCATGGCCAAGCATTGAATGCCCTGTTATTGTCCAAAAATGCTTTCTTGAATGGCAACTTAGAAAAAGAGGTGTAAATGGTTCAGCCTCCCTTGGTTTGAAATAGTTACCGAGTGTTTGGTTCCGCAAGTTCCATTTGGCTATGCAACAAATGGGGTTTAAACAATGTCAATAAACCATACTCTATTTATAAAGAGGGGGAAGGAAAAATTGCAACTTTAATAGTTTAGGTTGATGACATAGTAGTCACCGATGATTAGTCCTCAAAAATACAGAAACTGAAGGAATTCTTAGCCACTCAATTTGAAGTGAAAGATTAGGGTCCCTTAACGCTATTTCCTTGGAATTGATGTTGCTAGCTCACAAAAGGGGATCTTCATTTCACAAAGGAAATACATCTTGGATCTCTTGCAAGACATGAGTAAGTTGGGAGTGAAGTTGGCTGAAACTCCCATTGACTCCAAAGGCTAGGTGATTGTAGTCCAGAAACTATAAAGGATGTAAACCAAATCCAGAGCTTGTAGGAAGATTGGTTTATTTTTCCAAATCCAAAGAAGGTTCTTAGATATCTCAAGAAGTTTTACTAAGGCTGGTTTATTTTTCCAAAATCATGGACATTTGAAGGTTGAAGTGAATACAAATAGTAGTCGATCAAGACTACAATCAGTCTTGAATTCGAAAGAAAAGAAAGAAGAAATTTCAAAAGAGAAGAAGAAGAGAGGAAGAAAAGAAGAAGCACACGAAGAGATTTTGAAAAGAGAGAGAGGGTTGATCAATTGATCTGCCGACCCACTCTTAATATTTATATATGTTGACTAATTATAAAAGGGCTGAATTGCCCTTATTGCTTACATGGAAAATAAACTAATAATAAAACTGAAATAACAAGCTGTAAAAACAAACTAAAATAACTACCAACTAACACTGACATAACTAACAAAAAATATGCTATGCTGCGATACGAACACAGTGGGGTCCACATCAGTGTTCTCTACACTCCCCCTCAAGTTAAAAATAGATATTTGTCATTCCCAACTTGCATAGGTCTGCCTCTAACTTCTTCCTTGGAACAACCTTGATGAGAAGATCTACGAGCTGCATACTGGAGGTGATATACGGGAGACACTTCTTGAGACGAAACCCTTTCTCTGACAAAATGTCGGTCGACTTCGATATGCTTAGTTCTGTCATGTTGTACCGGATTATGAGCTATATTAATAGCAGYCYGATTATCACAATACAACATTAAGGGCTTCTCATAAGCAATACCCAACTCCTCAAATAATGACTTCAGCCATAGGATTTCAACCACACCATTAGTCATAGATCTATATTCAGCTTCAGCACGAGAACGAGAAACAACACTTTGTTTCTT